ACCCTGCTGAAAGGCAAAAGCACAACGTTTTTAATTTAATGTACAGATAAACAAGCCCTCCACTTCAATCCAATCAAGCCTCCCTCTACTCCTCCGCCATGCTGCCAAATACACTGGTTACTTACTTATCCTCATCATCTACAACCGCTCAAAGATTCCCTTAACTGGTACAGTTCTTTCTCTTGACTTCCCTGACGTCTCAGCTCTCTGGCTCTCTTTCTTCACTGGGCATGCCTCCCCAGTCCACTCTGTTCATTCTTCAGTGCTGTTCAGTAGCTAACGTTGCAATGACTCTTCCTTTGTTCTCCTCATTCCTTCCCTGAAGGGTTGCAACCAGCACTAGGGCTTAAACATACCCACGTGCATATAGGGCTCCCCAGGTGACGCCAGTGGTAAAGAACCCTCTTGCCAATGCAGGAGACACAAGAGACGCACGTAAAATCCCTGGGTCAGGCAGATCCCCTGGAAAAAGGGATGGCAACCCACTCCAGTATTCTTGCCTGGAAAATTCCAAGGACAGGGCAGGCTGCTGGCTACAGTCCATACACTCACAAAGAATCAGACACAACTGAAGCAAGGCATGCAGGCACATGCAAATAACATCAAAATTTATAACTCCAACTCTGACCTCTCCACCTGTGCCTCAGGTTTAATCAACATGTTAGCTCCACTTGGATGTCTAACTGATGATATCTAAAACTTAACATGGCCAGTAAATCAATTATACTCCAATTAAAATTAATTTTTTAAAGTAATGAGACTTGATATGTCCTAAATAGAACCATTGATTCCAAATTATTATTGTAAGCAAACCACATATATAAAATGTTAATGATTCTTGCAAATAAATTTTATGTAAGCCTGAAATCACTTCAAAATAAAAAGTAAAACACGAAACACATGATTCCCATCAGTCCACATTAGTTTCTTCCCTATTTCAGTAAACTTCACCACCAGTTCCTCATAAAACATAGTTGTTCAGTCGCTCAGTCATATCCGACCCTTTGCAGCCCCATGGACTGCAGCACACCAGGCTTCCCTGTCCTTCACTATCTCCCAGTTTGCTCAAAGTCATGCCCATTGAGTCAGTGATGCCATCTAACCATCTTGTCCTCTATCATCTCCTTCTCCTCCTGCCCTCTATCTTTCCCAGCATCAGGGTCTTTTCCAATGAGTTGGCTCTTCACGTCAGGTGGCCAAAGTATTGGCACTTCAGCTTTATCATCAGTCCTTCCAATGAATATTCAGGGTTGATTTACGATTGACTGGTTTGATCTCCTTGCTATCCAAGAGACCCTCAAGAGTCTGCTCCAGCACCACAGTTCAAAAGCGTCAATTCTTCGGCACTCAGCCTTCTCTATGGTCCAACTCTCACATCCATACATGACTACTGGAAAAACTATAGCTTTGACTATATGGACCTTTGTCGGCAAAGCATCATTAATTCATCTCTGTAAGAACATGCCACATCTAACCCACCAGGAAATTGAAGATGTTCTACTCAAAAAATACATTCCAAAGTAGACTATTTCTCCCCATTTCTACAGCTGCCTAATTGGTCTCCCTGTCGCCACACTTTGCCCCTACATTAGCTTTCTAGGACTGACATACAATCTATCACAAATCTGGTAGCTTAAAACAATAGAAAGGTACTGCTTCACAGCTCTAGGAGTTAGAAGTCTGAAATCGAGGTGTCAGCAGAGCCAAAATCTCCCTGAAACCTCTAGGGGAGGATGTGTCCCTATCTCTTCCTAATTACTGGTGGTTGTTGGCAAATTTTAGTTGGTTTGTAGACACTCCAGTCTCTGCCTCCATCCTCTCTGTGTCCAAATTTCCCTCTTCTTATAAAGACACTAGACATTGTATTGGGGCCCACTCTTGCTCAGCATGACCTTAACTTTACATCTGCAAAGATCCGATTTCCAAGTAAGTTCACACTTGCAGGTTCCAGGGGTTAAGACTTCAGCATATCCTTTTGGGGAACACAATTCAGCCAAAAACATCCCCTATAGTCCATTTTCCACACAGCAACCATAATGATCTTCATGAATGTACATCAGGCCACATCGCTCTCCTACTTACAGATCTGTGCCCAGCTGGCCTCTTCCAGCCTCTCAAACTTCATCTCCTAAGTGCCCTCTTACACTCCAGCAACACCAGCCTTCCTTCAATCCCTCCAACACAAGCGTTTCCTGCTGGAAACTGCTGTGTGGCTTCCTCCTCCTCATTTCAAATCATAACTCAGGTGTCACTTCCTCACACAAGTCTGACCATCTACCTCGGTACCATATTCCAAAGTCATTTTCTTTTACATAACCCTAGTTTCTAAGCAGCAATGACCTTCACCAAAAATTATCTTATTTGAGTTTTTTGTTGTTGTTGGAGCTTCCATTACTACAGCCCCAGAGACTAAACCTCGGTAGACAAATACTTTTCATTTCTATTTAGTCAAATACATCTTTTTTCCTCCATGGTTTCAGGGTTCCCCTCTTATAGATCAGGCTTCCCTCCTGGCTCAGTTGGTAAAGAACCTGCCTACAATACAGAAGACCTGGCTTCTTCCCTGGGTCAGGAAGATCCCCTGGAGTAGGAAACGGCAACCCACTCCAGTATTCTTGCCTGGGAAATCCCATGAACAGAGGACAGAGGAGCCTGGTGAGCTACAATCCATGGGGTTGCAAGAGTTGGACACGACTCAGTGACTAAACCACCACCACCATAACAAGATCACTAAATTATTCCCCTAAATTTTTTCCTATTGTGTTTTTATGTGTGTCTGACAACTGACTAAATTTTATTAATAAAGGAGACCCATGATACAATCTTAATACCTATTGTTTTCTTCTTGTTATTCATTTAAGTATCTAATCCATTTGGAATTAGTCTTGAACTGAATTCATCGGAACTGTCTCCACTGCTCTGAGACAGCATTAATCTCCTCTGACTCCACTCTGCCCTCCACTGACTACACTGAAAAGCCCTAAGGGACCACCCAGAAGGATGGTCCTGCCTGATAAACTCTTATAAATCCTTAAAACAGCAATCCTCATGTCACTTCTCCTGGCAAGACTTTCAATTTCCGTCCTTCCTTATATCTAACATCTACTCTTTTATAATTTAACATCCTTCTGCTCTATAATCTATAGTTTATTGCTGTTTTAATCCTTCAGTCATGTCTGACTCTTTAAGACCCCATGGACTGTAGTCCACCAGGCTCCTCCACCCATGGGATTTTCCAGGCAAGAGTACTGGAGTGGACTGCCTCCTCCTTCTCCAGTGGCTCCTCACCACCCAGGGGTGGGACCCTCATTTCCTGCATTGGCAGGCGGGTTCTTTACCACTGAACCACCAGGGAAGCCCACAATCTATAGTACCTGGCTCATAATAAAGTACTTAGACAAGTGCAAAGAGGAAATGGTATATAAGTGTTAACATTTTATTATTACCATAATAGGTTACCATTATTTTTTTTTCATCATAGGTTACCATTATTTGTCTGTGTAATTTGCCTTGCTAGACCATAAGACAGAGGACAGAGATTCATTTATTTGCCATTTACCAAGCCCACTGTTCACATACACACTAAACATTAATAGGTAAATCAATGAACAACATCTCAATTCTTTGATGCCGTGGATTCCTTATGTTTAAAAAAGAAATAGGAAACTTTCAAAACAAAAAAATAGAAAGAAGCTGTTCTTCCTGCTTTTTGACTTGGAGCAAACTGCAAGGGCAGAGAGAACACACGACGGACGACAGTCTTTAGCAAATCTAGCACGAAGGTCTAGCTTTTCTCACCTCCAGAAAGACAACGAGAAATGCTCTATATTTCACGCTGTATAACCCATCATCAGTTCAATTCAATAGCTCAGTCAGGTCCGACTCTTTGCGACCCCATGGACCGCAGCACGCCAGGCTTCCCTGTCCATCACCAACTCCCGGAGTTTACCCAAACCCCCCATTATATTAGTGATTAAAACAATGGCATTTCTTTAAAGACGGGGAGATGCAAAACTTTTTGTTTTATTTTAAATGAGGTGAAAGATGTCTGAATCTTACGTGAATTCATAACCTTACGGTCACCTGGCCTTGAACCTCACTTAAAGAAACGTATCGGCTTCCTAAATAAAACACCGACACAGCACTTCAACTCTGGGATGAAGGAAGAGCCCCACGTCGGGTAAAAACGAGGGGATAATCTAGCTGCCCTCCCCACCACCCTCGGAGAAGCGTAGAATTCTTATACGGAGGGACGACAGGTATTCTCGGCTCAGTATCCCCGAACCCAGGGCTGCAGAAACTTAGCCACCCGCCCTGTGTTAGTCAGGAGCTGAGAAGTACTCAGGTGACCACGGCCCACAGTAAAAGGCGGAGAGAAACTTTCAGAGGGGAATATAAAAGTCTACAGACGCTACGTGCGGAGAAAAGGGAAAACAGAAGCAGCGAGAGTAAAGAGTAGTCAGAAATACCGCCACTTCTCACTTCTCGTCGCTACCTCGAATTTTCTCATCTATAACACCTGCACCAGCCCCGCTCTCCGGTAGCGGCTCCATGAGGGCCCAGCCGCCGCCCACCCTGTGGTGAGAGCCGCCCGCCTCCCGGACTCACCAGCTCTCCGTGGTGCTACTTCGCCGCCGCGGAAACGGCTGCTCCAAGGCCCAATCTTTGAGCGTCCACTCCAGGTAGGCCACTGCGTTCGCTCCCCGCCGCCAGACAGCGGTTGTGGTCAACAAGAGAAGCGCTACAGCCGTCCCGGCTTCCGTAGGCAGACGGTTCGGCGGCCCCGGATGTTGATACACCACCTGCCCCGGAAACGGTGGCGGGAAGCCCAAGGGGGCGGGGGCGGTGTTGCCGGGCTCTCCGGAAGGAGACGTGGCGGCGGTTGGGCCCCGGGCTGCCTGGACGCTTGGTAGTCCCGCCGCCGCCTCCTCCTCCTCCCCCTTCTCTCTTCTGTGGGCCGAGGAGGTTGTGGCGGCGGCTGGAGAACTCGGCGGCGGAGGATGGAGGAAGGAGGCGGCGGCGCGCGGAGTCTGGTCGCAGGCGGGCCGGTGTTATTGGTCCTTTGCGGTCTCCTGGAGGCGTCCGGAGGCGGCCGAGCGCTCCCCCAACTCAGCGATGACATACCTTTCCGAGTCAACTGGCCCGGCACCGAGTTCTCTCTGGTCAGTGCCCTTGCGAACCCGGTAGCCATCTCTCTTCTTCCTGGCACTTAAGGGTTCGACCCCTTCTGTCGGTATTCTACGCTTTTTTCCCCTAGAACCTCTTCTGCAGGCGCATGCCTCATTCCTAGTCCAAAGCTTCATTAACCCCGCGTTCGTTCATTCATACAGCAAGTGCGTATCAAACACGTTTTGTGGATGTGCCTGCATGCCTACACATTTAAGATCCAGCGGTCACCTGTTCCCCCTTTTAAAGAAATCTGTCTCTCCAGAGTTTACCAACACTCCCGCCCTGTGGAAGCAGCTTTTCTAGAGCCACGTCAGGCGCATCTGTTTTCTCGCTGGCAAGTCAGTCACCTGCTGCTCTTCCTCCACCAGCAACCTTCTTTCCTTCAAGGAGTATTACACACACCCTTCCTACACAATCAGTTGTACTACGGATATGAGTTCCCTCTCTCATTCTCGTTTTTTCTCTGGTATATGCACAGTATACATATACCGCACAGCTCTTACCTTCAAAGTTGTCTCTGAGAGGGCTGTTTGGCCAGTGAGATGTTAACGACACTATGCAGAATGTCCTTTACAGTTTTGGTGTATTTATAACTGTTACTTAAGACTCCAGAACGTGAAATTTTATGGTCGGTTTTCCTACATTGAAAAACGTATTTATAACCTCGAAGTGATGAATATTTGCAGTCCTTGCTTTGGGAAGTGGACTTCCGAGAAGTCTTCCTATCCATTGTCGGCCGATAAAAACTAGGCTCTTGTGACACTTACCGTATGGCAATTAATTCATTTATTTAAAATGAAAGTCAGGGAAAATGTAACAGCCCACCTGCCCCTGAAAAGTAGTTGTTTCTTTTTTTTTAATTCTTATTCCAATTATCTGCAGTCGTTCTACTTGGAAGACTATTTTAGTATATTGTTCTGTTACTATATCTCTAAAACATGAATATGTGATACTATCATATCAGCACAGAATGTCCCAGGAAAAGGGATGTCGTCATTTCCACAACCCAAATTTCTATTTGCTGGTGTTAGTTTTAGCTAATATTTCACACCTGGTTTATTTCTCCTTTCTTAAATTTAAGTGATTCTTAAATTTAAGTAGATATTTCTCTGGGAAGCCAATTTGTCTTTGCATTAATGCCAGGAGATATTTTTAATTAATTTTTATTGACGTATAGTTGATTTAAATGTTGTGTTTCTGCTGTACAACAAACTGAATCAGTTACACATATACGCTATATGCATATACATATATCCACTCTTTTTTAGATTCTGTTCCACTATAGGTCATTACAGAGCATTAAGGAGAGTTCCTAGTTCTATACAGTAGGTTTCTTATTCAGAAAATACTAATATATTAAAATATTTATATAAAAGATTGTTATAAGTCAGATACAACTTTGAGATGAGAATATTTTAGTCCAACCTCTGATTATTTCTGAAGAGCACACTAGACATGAACTTGGCAAATGTTTAAAGAATGTGGTCATTAAAATTTTTTACTCTACATCAATGTGGTGTTTCTTTAAAATTAAAAAGGGGCTAATATGTGGCTGTAAAAATTTACTGACCTATATGCACATGACTGAAACTAGCCCTTTTAGAAGTTTTTACCAAACCATTCAGTTTTCTTTCTGGCACTGTTGTTTTCTGGCTGCAAAAGGTTATGGAAAAAGATCTCAACGTATGGTGGACCAACTTTCCCTATATCTTAGCAATTTTATTTTGAAATTTTGTTTTTAATTCTTTTTCTTTGACAATAAAGCATAATCTAAGATGGGCTTGTTTGAAAATTTGGGAAGAATTTTTTTCCTTTTTTTTAAGTTTGAGTTATTTTGGGAAAAACCTAGAGACATTTTCCTGTGCCTTAGCAAAAGGCCTATGGCCCTCCCGCAAAAATAAGCCTCAAGAAACATTATCATTGGTCTTCTGATTTTTTTAATATTTTCTTAATCTCAAGGCTTCACTTCCCTACTTTGTGTAATTGAAACTACAGGCCTACACACCTGGCACTGTCATTTTGTTTTATAGGCCAGTTGGATGGACATTTGTGTGTAACTAAGCAGCTGTGTGAGCTAGGATAAAGATCCTTTATCTCTCTACCACCTGAAATTGAGAGGGACTGGATTAGAAGATCTCAGGTTTTTTTAATCTTTAAAATTCTTCTGTGCTTTTTATTCTCTTGCCATTCAGATATATCAAAATGATACATCATCTTTCAAATTTACTTAGAAAAATTATCAAATGCCAAAAATATATACATTTTTTAATGTTTCCAGTAATTAATGATTATGATCTTCTTTACTGGTTTTTAGCAGTCAGTTTTGTTTTTGTGTATATTTTCCTTCTGAAACATCATCTCTGTGTCTTTAAAATGTTCAATTATTCATTACTTCACACAGAATTCATGAACATCTCCAAAGGAAAACCGCAAAATAAGTCTAATTTTCTTTCAACTTCTTTTGCTAATACAGAAATGTATTCCCATTTGAAAACAAATGCTACATTTGGGGAAAATGGTGACCATCTCCATGGTTTGAATCATGTCCTATATGTTAACAAGTTGTGCCATTGAGTTTATTTTACAGACTCTCCAGGATAGCTTTCTTTCTCATCCTCTGCCTTAATTCCTCCAGACTTGTGTCAAGCATTAGAAATTTCACCCTTGCCAAGATACTTTTCAGGTTCCTTAATCTTGAAGACTATACCCCTCTTTGATTAGTCTCATTGTATTAAAATTTGATTTTTATCATATCACTAACATTGCCTTTTACACTGGAAATACTTTAAGGTGTCAAGTTATATAAAACAAGTTTTTTTAAACGCTATCTGTGATTATGTGCATTTGGAATTCATTTTTTTAAGTAAAAACCTATTTTACAAAATCAAAAGGAAGCATTTTAGTTTTAAGTTAAAAAAATCACAAAAATTTAACTTTTCTCCTACAATTTCCAGTATTAAAAAGTTGGGTAAAATTTGTTAAAAATGTTTACTTTGTGATCCCAATAAGTGATACACTATTTCAGCAAAGAGTTTCAGATAGAAGAAATGTTATTTGGTCTGTTCTATTGAAGAGGAAAGTAGCCTTTCCTATGGAGAAGGCAGTGGCAACCCACTCCAGTATTCTTGCCTGGAGAACCCAGGGACGGGGGAGCCTGGTGGGCTGCCGTCTGTGGAGTCACACAGAGTCGGACACGACTGATGCAACTTAGCAGCAGCAGCAGCAGCACCCTTTCCTAAACTAATGAAAAACAAATCCTGGCAGAAACAACAATTCTTCAAATAAGAATAGTGATGGTTTCTATTTCTGTTACCTTTTACCTAAACCTTAAAAACAAGGAATGAATTTCATCATATAGACATAAAACAACAAGATTATAGTTTTAATTACAAAGAAAGAATTGTCTTTCTTTGCTGTGGTTCCAAACAAGCAGTTTCTTTTTCCATTGTTAGCACTGTTCTGAACATTTTAGTAAATGAGTCAGTACTGCTGTTTAATCCAGTTCTGAACATTAAATTGCAGTTTCTTCACAAGTAGAAAGGAATGCATTTAAGTCATATGCTACTGTCCACCTTCACTGTAGTCAGGAATGATTTGACAAAACTTCAAGCCATCTATTACTAGCTAAATCAATGTGAGTCATTCTTTGCACAACTCACCATCATCTATTCTGACTATATCTGAAAAATACCAAAAGATACAAATATTATGTCTTAACAGCAGTTTGTTGGCTAAACTGATTTCTAAGGATCCCTTTATCATAAAATTGGCTTTGCAACTCTCACTTTCGAATCTCTTTGATTCCTGTCTCCTTTATAATGTTCTTTTAAATAAGGATCCTTGGTTATAGTCCAGGACATGACTGAAGCGACTTAACATGCAAGCACACACTGTATAGTAATCTAAAAAAATGTTAACCAAAGCTGATTCAAATATGTTAAAACAGTTAAGAGCACACAGAATGTGGAACCATTCAGCTAGGTGTCTTCTCTGGGCTGTGCTATTTACCAGCTGTGTTACCTTGGACAAATTATTTAAGCCCTGGGCTTCAGTTTCCTTTTCAGTGAAATGGGTACAATGCTTGTTTCGAGCATTGATGAGATAATAATGTAAAGAGCTCAAGTGGTACTGTCATAGCTAATACAGTCAGTATTTACTGCTGTCTGGGGTTTTGCTTTATTATCTTGGGTAAACATTGCCCTGATTTCTATTTGTGTTTAAGATTTCAAGTACTTGAAGTTTCAAGTACTCAGTTTCAAGTACTACTGGTTTTATTATAGTTAAGAGTTGTTTTGTTAAATTGAGGAAAGAGTAGAGGTCTGTAATAAGGGTGGTTCTTTCATTACTAGGGATAGCCAGATAGTTTTGTGGTTTTACCTACTGTCAGAAGAGAAAAGAGAACTGAATTGCCACAGAATACTGCTCATAGACTTTGAAAACTGCCTTAGTGGTGGTGGTTTAGTCGCTCTGTCGTGTCTGACTCTGGCGACCCCATGGACTGTAGCCCACCAGGCTCCTCCATCCATGGAATTCTTCAAGCACGAATACTGGAGTGGGTTGCCATTTCCTTCTCCCTCTGCCTTAGTAGTTAGTGACATATTTTCTGTCACAAAGCAGAGATTTCTTTTTTGTAAAATAATACCAGTTACAGTAATTGAAATGTTCATTTGAATTATGTTGGTTCTTTTTGATTTGTGAATTTGTTTGGTTTTATACTGTAGCATACTTTAAGGATAGTCTTGTTGATATATACCATGAGTCAGCAAACTACACCTTCAGGCTGGCCCACTCCAAACTTGATTTCTGTAAGGTTTTTTGGTTTGTTTTTTTCTCAGAATACATCCATGCCTATTCATTTACATAATGCCTGTGTACTTACTTCCTACAGTGGCATAGCTGAATAGTTGCAATAGAGACCATATGACCCACAAAGCCTAAAATATTTATTATCTGGCCCTTTACAGGAAGAATTTGCTGACCCTTATACATACTAAAAAAGTTAAATTAGCAGAGAGGATTCATAGTAATTTTTCTAAGTAATTTATCCATGTTACCCAAATATGAAAATCACTGCACTCTTAGGTTCAGATGTCCCATCAAAAAGAATTGAAAGTATAGGTGGTAATAAGTATTCAGTGATGGTGTATCCATTGAACATTCACTGCCTCTAAATGCTTTTTAATCCATATTATAACTTCAGTCTGTTGCATTACCAATTTTTTTTCCTTTTTTCCTTTATACTCCAAACTATATTTTTGTTCTTTTTTTTTCTGTTACATTGTAACATCAGGAAAAAGTCTGTTGTCTTCATTTTCAGTTCAGTTCAGTCACTCATGTCCAACTCTTTGCGACCCCATGAATCGCAGCATGCCAGGCCTCCCTGTCCGTCACCAACTCCCAGAGTTTACCCAAACTCATGGCCATCGAGTCGGTGATGCCATCCAGCCATCTCATCCTCTGTCGTCCCCTTCTCTTCCTGCCCCCAATCCCTCCCAGCATCAGGGTCTTTTCCAGTGAGTCAACTTTTCGCATGAGGTGGCCAAAGTATTGAGTTTCAGCTTTAACATCAGTCCTTCCAATGAACGCCAGGACTGATCTCCTTTAGGATGGACTGGTTGGTTCTCCTTGAAGTCCAAGGGACTCTAAGGAGTCTTCTCCAACACCACAGTTCAAAAGCATCAGTTCTTCAGCACTCAACTTTCTTCACAGTTCAACTCTCACATCCATATTTTGTCATTAAAAAATATGTAGACTTTTTTCCTGCCTTTGGAAGTAAATATGTTTGAGAATCCTTTGTTGAAGTGATAAATTATATTTAAGTTTAATCAGATAACATAATGTACATTTTTTTTGTTTTATTTCTAGCCTACAACTGGAGTTTTGTATAAAGAAGATAATTATGTCATCATGACAACTACACATAAAGAAAAATATAAATGCATTCTTCCCCTTGTGGCAAGTGGGGACGAGGTAAGTTTTTGTAAATACATTGATAATTCCTGTTACCAAACATTTATTTGAAACATTGCAACTGCATACTTTAAAATAAAACTGAGTGACAGGTTTCTCAGTAATGCTGTCTTACCATAAAAATAGTAATCACATTATTCCTGAATTCTTAGATTATGTGTATGTGACATTTTTTATAAAGAACTGCTAGTAAATAAATCTGTAGGTACCTTGTACTTTCTCATTACCTTAGTTCATGCCCGTTTCTTCCTCCTAAAATGCGCTAACTGCCTCTTATCCATCCTTTAAGGCAATGACTTCTTTCAAGATGAAACAGAGGCAGCATGGTAAAATGGAAAGGACACCGGCCTAGGAGCCAGGAAGCTGAGGTATAGGCTATAGTTAGCTGTGGAACCTTGAACAAATTTGAAACTCAATTCCTCCACTCAGTAAATTTTTTGAGCTAATTACAGAATATTTTCACAATCTCTAAAATGGAAGTATTAAACCCAGTGATTGCTTTCTTAAGAAGTTTTGTTCAGATTTAAAATCTGTGAGAGACAGCTATCTATTTCATTTTGTTTTAAACCTTAAGACACAAATATACACAATTATACACATATTTATGGCATTCAGGTCTGAAATGTAAAATTAGGAAACTGAGAAGTATCTTAAAACTTTCCAGTGTATTATGTAAGATTCAACTGTTCGGAGGCTTTTATAGCTAGAAATTCTCAAGTAGGTGTATAAGAATTGTTCAGAAAACTGATACTCAGAAACCTTTTTCTAAGAGAAGGAAGAACTAAATATTTTTCTATGGCTCTGTATTTTATACTTCGGTTCTTTTTTTTTAATTGGAGTATAGTTGGTTTACAGTGTTGTGTTAGTTTCAGGTATGTAGCAAAGTGAATCAGTTATACATTACATACAAACATTCTTTTTTAGATTCTTTTCCCGTGTAGTCCATCACAGAGTATTGAGTAGAGTTGCCTGTGCTATACAGTAGGTCCTTACTATTAACAGTTATCTATTTTGTATATAATAGTTTGTATATGTCAATTTTGATCCCCCAGTCTATCTCCCTCCCCCCACCTTTCCCCCGGTAGCCATAAGTTTGTTTTCTACATCTGTGACTCTCTTTTTGGTAAATAAGTTCCTTTGTGCCATTTTTTTTAGATTCCACATATAAGCAATACCACTTGATAGTTATCTTTCTCTGTGTGACTTCACTCAATATAGAAATCTCTAGGTCCATGCATGTTGCTGCATATATTTCAATTCTTTGGAAAGAAATAGCATACCATAGGATCTTATTAAATCTTTTGACTTTTTTCCCCTTTTATTTCCAAGCATTTGTGATTTGACCAATGAGTTAATAATTAAACTGCGGAGTTGAAGAAAGCTCCTGAATAATGATATTAAACTCTTCATTCTTTCATAGGAAGAAGAAAAGGATTATAAAGGCCCAAATCCAAGAGAGCTGTTGGAGCCCCTATTTAAACAAAGCAGTTGCTCCTACAGAGTATGTATTTTATGTTCACTTGATAATTAGAAAATAAATCTCCAGCAGCCAATAAACTCTTGAAAATTTAAATTCCTATATAGTTTTGTATATGCGGCAAACACCCAGTAATATCACTTATCAAATGTATCACTTAGCAAACTGCTTTGAATGTTTTTCAGATAAAAAGAAAGTTTCCTTATATACAATTTTAATAAAAACTGCTCATTGTTATCTTTTAGGTTGTGTAGAAAATGGTTCCTTGACCAAGTGTTTATTACAGATCCCAGGAGGTGTAGACCTATTTGCGTCACAGAATTTTTACGTTTATCTAATTAGTGAAAACAATGAATAGGCTTCAGAAATTTCATATTTTCTGAGGCATAGTAATAACTTTCATTTAATGAAAGTTTATTCTAAATCTTGGAAGAAATCTGCTCAGTTGCTTAAAATATCAAAAAGTAATTCAGTTGAGTTTTGTGGCTTTTTTTGTGTGTTTAAATACATCCATCTCGCTTAGATTGAGTCTTACTGGACTTATGAAGTATGCCATGGAAAACACATTCGGCAGTACCATGAAGAGAAAGAAAGTGGTCAGGTATTTTTTTCTTCAAACTATGAAATATGGAACATTATAAAATGAAAAGTGTAGTAATGAGATTTTTTTTTTTTAAGTTGTATTCTTTAAAAATGTATTTGCAAAATACTTACTGCATTTTTTTTTTAATATAGAAAGTAAATATTCACGAGTACTACCTTGGAAATGTGTTGGCTAAGAACCTTCTATCTGAAAAAGGTTTGTTTCTACAGTGATTTAGTAATAATGTTAGTATTTGGTTTAAAGTATATATTCAAACTGGAATTTAAAAGATCTTGTGGGAAGGACTTCTCTGATGGTCCAGTGGTTATTATATTCCAGTGCAGGGGGCACAGGTTCAGTCCCTGGTCAGGAAACTTGAGACCCCACATGCCACATGATGCAGCCAATCGATTAAAAAATATATATATATTGTTGGAGACTTTATGAATTGTAAAACACTTTAAATAAATTTCTAAACAATGCCTTAGAAAACTTTTCAAAGAGATCTTTTCATTATTTTTTGCTTTAACAAACATTGTTGCTTTCTTTCTACCTATTAAATTTTTAAATCTGGTAAGCTATACATGTCAGTATTATATTTACATAGTTTTAGTTTTTGCTTGGTTTAAGCAAAGCCTTTATATATGGAAATAGACATGTAGATCCATCCCTCAGATTATGAAATGTTTTTATTAATCTTTATTACTGAAATTGGCCAACTCGTTTAAGACTAAACCTTTCACCGAGATAAAAACATTTTAGAAGAAAACTTGTGACCAGTTTTTATGCCTCAAACAGTATTTCCTAGATAAAGATAAAATGATTAAATGACTGTTCTTTCAAAAGAAACCATTTCAAGAAAATTAGCTTAAAGTAGTAAGATAAAAATTATGTGTATGCTTTGAGTCTTTTTTAAAAAGAAGTTTAAGGTTACAAATTGAAAACTTAGACATTTTATGTCTTGTATATAAGTCACCACTCATTATTTACACTTACTTTTGTATTAATCCACAGAACAAGAAAAAGAAGAAGAGGAAAAATCGAAAGAGGCAAGTGATAATTGGTGATTTTTTTACTCTGAACATCTATTGTTAAACACAAATTTATGTAACTTAATTTGACAGAATATAGCCAGGTGTTCTTTAACTGTCTATCAAATACCTCAAAGGATTTGGTAAAAGAAAATTTGCAGTCTGTTAGGTTTTTCTGAAAAAGTTATCCTATATTGCTTTTATTTACTTTTAAGAGCATACAAAAATAAATGAATTTATCAAAGTTGTGTCTGGGAAAGTTTCTGTAATAGCATTATATCCCTTCTGTGCTTAGCGGTGATTCTTCCCCTCTATTTAACATTGCAAACAGTTATGATAGGAGCTTTTACATTTTCTTTCTGTTGTTTGAACCCTGTCTCTTGTGGGTAAAACAGATAAACTGTATGTGTAAATAACAAGCTACCAGACTGCAAGCTTCTTAAAAGCAGGGCTTGTCTTTTATCTTTTTACTCCGCAGTGCAAAGTAGAGTGCCAGATATCATATAGGCCTTTCATGAATGTTTATTGAATCTGAATGCATAATTAATGACTGAAAAGTAGGATTGTTTAAAAAAGAACAATTCCTTAGGGTGACTAATTACAGTTGTAAGTGCCCCTGTGGTTTAAGGAATGATTTCTGAATCCTTGAAATTTCCATAAAGTTAAATAACTTACTGTTGGAGAATATTTCTACAAATGGTTTCATATTGTAAGGATACTTTTATTAGAAGTAAAGTAAAATGGCAGAAAGCCTTACAAATTACTTAAAAGGGGTGCCTGTAACTTAAAAAGGTGGCTTTGGGGGAATTGATTAGGTATGCATAGCCACACATAGCATTGCGATCTTAAAAGGTTTTAATTTTACAGACTACCTTTGAGATAAAATATTTATCTCAAAATATTTTTGGCTCTGGAGGATAGCAAGATGGAATTCAAAGTGAAATGATAAAGGAAGAGGAAGAAAGGGGTAAGGGAAGAAAACTCACATTTTTGAGCCCCAGTTTATAAGCTAGGTGCTGTGTAAGACATATAATGAAGAGTAATGCTCAATTCTCCCTATAGCCTTTGAGTATGTATTATTATTCTGGTTTTACAAATGACAAGAACTGAAATTGGGTTAAAGTCATAAGGCTGGTGAATTCAGAGCTGGTATTTGAACCCAGGATTTTCTAATTCCAGACATTAGCATGAAAATAGCATACGAGAAACCTCAAAATATTTTTCTCTAGAATCTTTTGTTTATGGCCTGTTTTGGATATAGCACTGACAGGGTACCAAAGTGATACAGGATAAGCGTGCCTCCAAAGAGCTTGCTTGGAGATTCTATTAACAACATCTTTTTGAAGCCCATCCATGTAATTTTTCTGGTGTTTGTTGATAAAAGTGTAGGAGCTAACTCCTTAATAATCCATGTCTTCTGAGATGATCTCCTTTATTTCCCCATTCCATAAAAATGTCTTCATTTGTCTTTTGTTGGCCTTGAATAGATTTACTTAAGAGTTTATATGCTGAGAAGTGTCTGTTAATAACAGGAAAGAAGAGTAACCAGATTGATGAATCAGTATATTTAGATTTCTGTTTTAGAAGATAGTATTAATTATGTAGCCCCACATTTTCACAAATCAAACTTCAGACTTCTAAAATGTAAATTTTAACTCAGGCATCCACTGAGGGTTTAGTGAAGAAAGCTTTGACCAGCCCAGTATAGGAAGTTTCTGTATTTTATCCTGGTCTCTTTCTTTGTAACTATTGAAGATAATTCATATTAATTATATCTTTGTAATCCTTTATATAAATGTACATCTTAATTTTAGCAGCAAGCAAAAATTTCCTTTTATGCTGTATTCAATTAGCTCTGAAAATATGTATATGTTCAAGTAAGAATACGAACCAAAAGAATATTAGGAGAGCTTATAGAAAATACAGAAGTGTTACCATTTTATTAAATAAATGTTAGTTTATAAATGTAGTTTTCTTCCTTTCAGAATAAGTGCTTCTCCCATCCTCACCCCACCTCTATTTCTAATGAAAAGTCTGTCTTATACTCTTTTTTTAAGATTCCCACTAAAAATATCGAAGGTCAGATGACACCCTACTATCCAGTGGGAATGGGAAATGGTACACCTTGTAGTTTGAAACAGAACCGGCCCAGATCAAGTACTGTGATGTACATTTGTCATCCTGAATCTAAGCATGAAATTCTTTCAGTAGCTGAAGTTACAACTTGTGAATATGAAGTTGTCATTTTGACACCACTCTTGTGCAATCATCCTAAATATAGGTAGGATGTGGATTTAATATTTTAAACATGAAATGCACACATGATTTAAAATGTTGTATGCTTAGCTTTAACACTTTGTTCTCACTGAACAGATTCAGAGCATCTCCTGTGAATGACATATTTTGCCAGTCACTACCAGGATCGCCATTTAAACCCCTCACCCTGAGACAGTTGGAACAACAGGAAGAAATACTAAGGGTGCCTTTTAGGAGAAACAAAGAGGTATGAGAATTATCTAACAATATTTTCTCAGTGCTTCCTTTTCTAAAAATCATAGCATATGTCAGTATTTTAATGATTTCTGTAGTATGGTAATAGTAATTTCTTTTCCTGACTCAAAACTGTCAGTTCGAATTCTTTTGATTTTAATTCTTTTCCTTATTCTAGTCCTTCCCAGAAACTATTTTAGCATTTTCTTATACTCATGATTCCATAATACTTTAAAGTTTGCCATCCTGTTCATTTCAGTTAAATTTTTCATCTAGTTAACTGAACTTCCCAGCTAAGCCTCTTGAAAATATAGACTACAACCCATCTCCTAATACTTTATTTATTCTTCAACTCATTGCTCTTATCAAACCATCATTCTATCATTCTCCTTAAATGGTTCTTACTAAGATCAACAGCTGTCTTTGGTTCTAAATTTGCTGGACCTGTGCATAACTTGATCTTAGCTGAACATTTGAAGCTTGAACTTCTCCTTTCTTTGCTTCAGTTCATTATCTCACTGGTTCTCTTCTCCTGTGTACTAGCTCTTGCTCTAATTCCTGCTTCTTAAAATGTTACAGTTCCCTTGGTTCTGTTCACAGGTCCTTTCTCTCCTTGTTGTACATTGTCTCCTTAAGTAAGCTCATCCACGACCATTCTTTCAACTTCCATTTCCATGCCTGTCTATTATAAATATACATCTACAACCCTGACCTTTCTCCTGAAACCACAATCACAATTATTAACATGTATTGAATCTTTACTGAAGAAGGGAGTGGCTACCCACTCCAGTATTCTTGCCTGGGAAATCACATGAAAAGACAAGCCTGGCGGGCTACAGTACATGGGGCCGCAAAAGAGTCAGACTGGACTTAGTGACTAAACAACAGTTGAGTCCTTAAAGCTATTATCTAATCCTTACAACAGCATATAAAATATACTGTTACCTACCTTAACAGGTTAGGGAACTGAGGTTCAGAGAGGGGGAGGGACAAGTGATGGGTTAGAGATTACAATCAAAGTAGTCTGAGTCTAGAATCTGTCCCTCTTAACCACTTGTCTCTATTGCTTCTCCCTTTTGATATGCCATCTTCCCTTTTCATCTGCTTATTGGACATATATACATTTTCTTTTTTTTTTTTTTCCATTTATTTTTATTAGTTGGAGGCTAATTACTTTACAACATTGCAGTGGTTTTTGTCATACATTAAAATGAATCAGCCATGGGTTTACATGTATTCCCCATCCCGGTTCCCCCTCCCACCTCCCTCTCCGCCCTATCCCTCTGGGTCTTCCCAGTGCACCAGGCCCGAGCACCCGTCCCATGCATCCAACCTGGGCTGGTGATCTGTTTCACCCTAGATATACATGTTTCAATGCTGTTCCCTTGAAACATCCCACCCTCGCCTTCTCCCACAGAGTCCACAAGTCTGTTCTATACATCTGAGTCTCTTTTTCTTTTTTTGCATATAGGGTTATCGTTACCATCTTTCTAAATTCCATATATATGTGTTAGTATACTGTAATGGTCTTTATCTTTCTGGCTTACTTCGCTCTGTATAATGGGCTCCAGTTTCATCCATCTCATTAGAAGTGATTCAAATGAATTCTTTTTAATGGCTGAGTAATATTCCATGGTGTATATGTACCACAGCTTCCTCATCCATTCGTCTGCTGATGGGCATCTAGGTTGCTTCCATGTCCTGCCTATTATAAACAGTGCTGCGATGAACATTGGGGTGCATGTATCTCTTTCAGATCTGGTTTCCTCAGTGTGTATGCCTAGAAGTGGGATTGCTGGGTCATATGGCAGTTCTATTTCCAGCTTTTTAAGGAATCTCCACACTGTTCTCCATAGTGGCTGTACTAGTTTGCATTCCCAACAACAGTGTAAGAGGGTTCCCTTTTCTCCACACCCTCTCCAGCATTTATTGCTTGTAGACTTTTGGATAGCAGCCATCCTGACTGGCGTGTAATGGTACCTCATTGTGGTTTTGATTTGCATTTCTCTAATAATGAGTGATGTTGAGCATCTTTTCATGTGTTTTTTTTGCCATCCGTATGTCTTCCTTGGAGAAATGTCTGTTTAGTTCTTTGGCCCATTTTTTGATTGGGTCATTTATTTTTCTGGAATTGAGCTGCAGGAGTTGCTTGTATATTTTTGAGATTAATCCTTTGTCTGTTGCTTCATTTGCTATTATTTTCTCCCAATCTGAGGGCTGTCTTTTCACCTTGCTTATAGTTTCCTTTGTTGTGCAAAAGCTTTTAAGTTTCATTAGGTCCCATTTGTTTATTTTTGCTTTGTTTCTAAAATTCTGGGATGTGGGTCATAGAGGATCCTGCTGTGATTTATGGACATATATACATTTTCAATTATCTCAGACTTATCTTTTTTTTTTCTCTTTCACACTGACACTTTTGTCTTCCCCATTTCTTTTAAAGCAATGTGCTCTACCCAGTTGTCCAAGTCAGAAACCTGAGTCATTCTGCTTATCTTTTAATGCTATCAGTGTTATCCTCTGACTGCTTTTCAAACCTGTCTTTAGTTCAGAACCTCATCATTTCTTAAGACCTAAAACTAATCTCCTCACACATCTTCCTTCTAATCCTTCCCACACAGCTGATAAAATGTTCTGTCTGAAATGAACATTTGATAATTTATTTAACTGTTTGGTATTTAACATGATCTATCAGTTCAGTTTAGTTCAATTGCTCAGTCGTGTCCAACTCTTTGCGACCCCATGAATCACAGCACACCAGGCCTCCCTGTCCATCACCAACTCCCGGAGTTTACTCAGACCCATGTCCATCAAGTCGGTGATGCCATCCAGCCATCTCATCCTCTGTCATCCCCTTCTCCTCCTGCCCCCAATCCCTCTATAAGTCCATCCTAAAGGAGATCAGTCCTGGGTGTTCATTGGAAGGACTGATGTTGAAGCTGAAACTCCAATACTTTGGCCACCTGATGCAAAGAGCTGACTCATTTGAGAAGACCCTGATGCTGGGAAAGATTGAGGGCAGGAAGTGAAGGGGATGACAGAGGATGAGATGGTTGGATGGCATCACTGACTCGATGGACATGGGTTTGGGTAGACTCTGGCAGTTGGTGCTGGACAGGGAGGCCTGGCATGCTGCAGTTCATGGGGTCGCAAAGAGTCGGACACTACTGAGCGACTGAACTGATACCTCAAGATGAAATTGTTGTTCATACAATCATTTTATCAAAGAAGAATTGAAGACTATTCATGATCTGGCTTCAGCCTTATCTCTTGTTTCCATTCCTTTGATGCCAGCTATTTTAAACAACTTAAGCATTTCCTAAAAGTACCACATTCATTCCAGCCTCCTTGCCTATGGATATAACACTTACATGGCTAAAAATGTTTTTCCTATGGTTCTTCATTAAAAGGGAGGGAGGATTTTTTAAATTTTCATTACTTGGAGTTTCCAGCTGCTTGTATGATACCTGGTATGCTGTCGGTATTTAACAGTGGGTTAATTAACATTTAACTACAAGGCCTTTTTCTCCCCTTCCTCTTGAATACTTACTGTGAAAATACTGCCAGACTCTTCATGGATGTTGTGAACCCTGCCATTATGATAAGGAGGAAACATTATCTTAACTGCAATCTGCATTTGAAGTGCTGTATTGAAAGATTGGAAATGGAATTATTTTCTCATCTTCTTCTTGATAATGATTTCAGTACTGACAAGTACTTAAAAGTCAGCCCCATCAAAATTCTTCACAAACCCAACTTTAATTATTCTTCAAGGAAGAAGTGCCAGTTTATTTTTCTTTTATGTGTTAAATCCGCAGGTTGAGAAAAATTTTTTTAAAGCTATAGATGATAGCTATAATGCTTTCAAAATACCTATCATCTTGATAGTACATGTTGTATATGAAATCTTAGGTAGTACTGTGAGTAATTACTTAGAACTGGTCATCTTTATTTCAGAATAATTTTTTTTAGAAATTCAATTTATTACACATAACTTTTTTTTAATTGATATTTGGCATATGGTTTGCCTTTCAAGTATGAACTAAGCTTTACCATAAAGAATTTTTTTAAACAAAATATATATTTGGCTCTCCAATTGTTGTGTCCAATTCTTTGCAACCCCTTGGGCTATAGCCTGCCCCGCTCCTCTGTCCATATGATTTCCCAGGCAAGAATACTGGAGTGGGTTGCCATTTCCTTCTCTGGGGGATCTTCCCAATCCAGGGATCAAACCCACCTCTTCTGCATTGGCAAGCAGATTCGTTACCACTGAGCCACAGGGGAAGCCCTATGTTATTATACCACATTAATTTGGAAATTACTGGATTTATTAAGAATCTATTTTCTGAATTTCCAAACCCTGATTCAAAAACTACTATGTTCTTGCTTTTATTGGGGTAATTTTCCTTAAAATGAAAGTAGATGTTCTGTCCAAAAGAAACAATAAATGGTCATGTTTCTTTTACCTCTTCCCCTTTTCTCAGCTACAGGTTTCACTGTGCAGTATTCTTTTCTTCACTAACCTTACTATAGGTCTCATGTATTCTGAGTAATTGCTTTACACTATTAGACCTTAAGCTGCTTATGAGTAGTAACTATGTCTCCTTCATTTTTAATACTCAGTATTTAAGATAGTGCCAGGAGCATAGTATAGGCTCTGAATGTAGAAAGAGCCTACATTCTATAAATGTAGAAAGAGCCATGTAAAATTCAAGGTTTTTTAAAAAAAAAAAAAAAGAAGGCATCTTGGCAGTCTTTGTTCTTAACATTGAAGGAGAGAGAGGATAAGCTCATTGGTTTCCAACATAACCGTCTAGTGACTCCTGTTATACAAGTTGAAAACAAGAGAAGAACCACAATTGGTCAATGGCAACTACAGTAACTACATTCATTTTACTGTTTAGTTTTTTTATTGTTATTTTATTCAGTTCATTGGTACATTCATTCCTTCAGTTGTGGTCTAGATTCATTTCCTCTCTGCTCACTGTCAGTACCCAGATAACGTCCAGATTCTATATCATTGACTTCTTTCATAACTATCTTCTTCTCTCCAACCCCACGTGTCACTCCCTCACGTTCAAGTCTCTTCATCTCTGGCCTGGGTTACTGAGCTCCTAACTTGACTCTCCACCTCCAGATTTGTTACTATCCCTTCTTCCCTGTGACTGCTAGGGTAATTACTTAAAAATCTGATCATACCATATCTTTGCCTAAATGTTCAGACTTAGCATTACATAGCTTTCCGCCGTATAGTGCCTGCTTCTGTCTTTGGTTTTAACTATCATACCATACCACACATCGTTGCTCTTACCTCTTTCTCAGGTTCATGTGCACATACACACAACACATAACAGACCTTCATATAAGTCACAGATTATTAATTGTTTCATGAATTAAGCAAGGATTTTCTCTTTGTGAAGTCTTTATGTTTCAGTTCTTCATCAGAGTCTATTTGAATCACCCATACCTCTGTGGATCTGCTATTCCTTCTACCCTTCCTTTATTACACAGCAGTTCACTCCAGGGCAGCAACCAGGTCCTGCTACATTTGAATAATTACAACTAACATTCATATTCGTTCCCACTTAGCCCTTTATTAGCCTGCCTCTTATCCTTTCTTTATAGATAGTAACCACATTTTTTTAAACTAAATATAAAATCTAACAGATAGTGAAGTACTTAATAAGAATAATGAGACAAAACATATGAAGTAGAAATTATCCCTGTGTTGTTAAGAGTGGTCACCATATCCCTAAGTGGTAGATGGAACTAACTCTTGACTAGAGCTTTCTCTATGCTATTAAGTGTCGCAAAATTCATTTTCTTAAAGCACATTAAAAATGAGCGGACAACTTTTATTTTCCAAATTTTCTAAACTTAAAAAATAATAATTTAAATCATACTGAAGCCTATAAATATGTGTTTGTTTAATTTTAGGAAGATTTGCAATCAACTAAGGAAGAGAGATTTCCAGCAATCCACAAACCCATTGCTGTTGGTTCTCAGCCAGTGCTCACTGTTGGAACAACCCACATATCCAGATTGACAGATGACCAACTCATAAAAGAGTTCCTCAGTGGTTCCTACTGCTTTCACGGGGTGAGAAATGAACCTTCTGTTTAAGTATTTATCTTACAGCTTTCACTTTGTATGTTATTTATCAACAGACTTTAGCAGCACTGAAAAAGACTTTTTGTCTATAGAGAAATGGCAGGATTCTGGAAGCTTTCCAACAGACATTTCTCTACATCTCACTATAAGGCATAGTCATTATAATTTCTCTTTACTCACAGGCTAAAACTTGACCTTTACTTGATAAATAAATATATATATATATATATATATGTACACACACATATTCAAATAAGTAATTCATTTGTGATTCTGGCTAATTGCTAGAATGGGCACCAGTGATTTAACATCTGCATTACAGACAACTTGCCTGACTTTTAAATGAGCATAAAAGGCCCTCTAACCTATGCAGGTTTCCTCATGACGCATATAGAAGACGCTAGTGTGTTTCTGCTCACTTCACATGTAACAGGTGCCCTTACGTTGTGCTTGTATCCTGTGCTTTCTGTGGGACCATTCCATTCAGGAACAGAGCACCATGATTCCAATCTGTGTGTATTTACTAACCCTTCCCTGAGGTGTGTGTATGTTGGATATTGTGGTGTTTTAGATCACTGAGTGTACAGAAGAAAGAATTCAGACAAAATATTGCTGTTCTTCAGTTTTGTTTGTGGAATTTGAAATTACTCAAATTTAAAATAAATTACTGGACTGTGGAAAAAAAAAAAAAAAAGATTTAACATCTGTAAAGGTGGAATTTTGCCTCTGACTCAGAGCTTCAGTGGAAAATATGCTTTTAAGTAGAATTTTCATTTTACTTTATTTTGCCAAGAAAGTTATTCTCTGTATGTCCATCTTTTAAGTTTATTAGTAATTTTTAATTGTGATTTTAAACCATATTATTGCTGGTACAATTTTTTTAATTACATATATGTCCATTACTCTCATGTGGCAATATTGAGACAGACCCTGGTACCCCTTTCCCTGTACTGAAACTTGATCTGTTTCCTTTTCTGTAGGGTGTTGGTTGGTGGAAATATGAATTCTGCTATGGCAAACACGTACATCAATACCATGAGGTATGGCACAGCATTTATATCATTCTATCACTAAATGGTTTAAAGTTTCAAAAATCTTTTGTGGAAAAATAGAGGAGTGGGATTGGTGTTACTTTTAAGTATGAGATGCTTTTAATATGGAAATATTCAACAAAACATCTCTAAATTCTGGGAAATGGAAAACTTGTTGTTAAGACTACATCAGTCATCTTAAAGTAACTTTCTTTATTAACTACTCAGATTCTTGCATTACTGTCAGTCTGGAACAATAATACAGTACTGTGACTAACCTCTTCAGCTTTGGCTCAGAAATTAGTCATTTTATAACTCATATTTAAGAAAGTGAATGGTAAGATAGAATGTTGTCACTAGTATCAGTAAAATAGGATAAATACAGCAAGTTTCTCAGCTAAAAGAAGGTACCGTATGATCCAAGTTTAAGTTTTAAGATTAAATCCTCTTTATTCTTTTATTTATAGTGTCATAAATCAGCATTCTCTCACACTTGAATCATAGCTGCTTAAATTCTGAAGTTCAAGCCCAAATAGTTTTATTTGTACTTCATTTAGTAAGGTAAACTACTTGACCCTGAAGACAAACATTAATATTAAATATTGAATTGGTTGTTTTAAAAGGCACTTTATTCCGCAAAATAAATAACTGGTAATTAGAAAATACCGTATTTGCCCTTCTGAGATGTTTTGAGCCGATCTTAAATTCCATGATGGATCATATCAGGAAAGATCAACTCACTTTCCACATTTAAATCACTCTAAAAAATGTATGTGGCATCTGTAAACTAGGGCTTTTTTTTTCTTCCATTAAACCTGAGGTGTCCCATTTCATTATGCTTTCCTCTTATTCTTACTGCTTTGTAGATGTTTTACTTATTTTTTAATAACATTTATTAATATAAAAAAGATAAAGTACCATCTAAGTACAGTCCAGATAATACCGTTTTTTTTTTAATTAAAGGAATATATGCCAGAAATATAGAATAGAATGAAAAGTAAAATTCTCCCCCACTATTGTCCCATTTTTCAAAAGTAACAGCTGTTAACATTTTCTTAGTTAACAACAAAAAGGGGGGAAAAAGGCATATCATAAATGTTGATACAACCTTTTTATTTATACAGACGGGATATACTGAATGTGCTTGTTCTTTTCACCTAGTATCTTGGAGATCTTTCCATGTCATCAACAACTGATTTCATTTTTTTCAGCAGGTACAGAGAATTATGCCTATACACACAGTGTATTAATTAGATCTCTATTGACTATCTTTGAGTTGTTTCCAGTTTCTGCTTTGATAGCATCTTAGTGAATATTTTTAAATAGTTGCGCTTGTAAACTTTTGCAAGTACGTTCATAGTACACACATCTAGAAATGTACTTGGTGGGTCAAAATATATACATACTGAACAGTTGCCTCCAAAAAGGTTGGATCGTTTACATTTCCATTAATAATGACTGTTTTCCTATACACTTGCCAACACTAGGTTTTATCAAACTTACTTTAGCTAAGGTAGTATAACCTGGAACTTTTCAAGGAACTCTGGTAGGAACTTTGAGGTATAGAAAAATAATAGTAGCTAACAAACATAGTACTCACTGTATACCAGGCACTATTGTAAGTACTTTACAGATATTAACTCATGTAATGCTCATAAAAGATAAGTATTGTTATTCTAAGATAAGGAAACTGAAGCATAAATTGCCTCAAATCACATAGGTAGTAGATGGTGAAACCAGAATTCCAACCCAGACAATCTCTATATCCAACCTCTTATTAAACAGTTTACTATGCCAGTCTAATACCTGTCTGTCTAGGACTTTACGGTATGGTTGCTAAAAGAATGTTTAATGGCTCTCTCTTCCACTACTATTCAGTGGCTATGCCTTTTTGCCTCTGTAAGGGTTTTTAATTCTACTCATCAGATGTATATTAGTACCCAACATGGTCCCTGGCATAAAATATAAAGAAAAAAAGGAAGACAGGAAGGAAAGAAAAATGAGGGAGAAGGAAGAAGTCCACGTAAAGGGCAGTATAGGGTGCATCATGTCAAATGGATAATATGGAAAGTAGTATAACGAGTAAGAGATAGAAGCCAGAGATTTAAGTAGGAATCACAGTAATATGTAGTTATAGTATCTAGATACAAGAAATTAAACTCTTAGTCGAGGGGTGAGATGCTGGCAATAGACCAATAGAAGAGTGAAGCCAAGAACATCTCTGGGAAAGTGACAGGACTGATAAATGTAGAGTGAAAGGCAATAGAGTCAAAGATAACTACATCTGGACCTAACCTGACTAGGAAGTGCCAGTTTCATAATTCAGAGAAACAAGAAATAAACAATAATGAGCTCAAACTTCTTCTCATCAAGTTTGACTAACATTATTACATCTAAACATAGATATCCAGTGTGCAGTTGAAGATAAGTTCTGTAGCTTATAGGCCATCAGCATAAATGTCACCTTGATGTCAAACATTCATTGTCACAAACATTTTTTCACATATTAGGACAAGGATAGTGGGAAAACCTCTGTGGTTGTGGGGACATGGAACCAAGAAGAACATATTGAATGGGCTAAGAAAAATACCGCCAGAGCCTATCACCTTCAAGACGATGGTACCCAGACAGTCAGGTAAATACTAACTTTATTTGTCTCTGGATCTTAGAATATTTAAAACTCAGAATATTGGAAAACATTAGTTTAAAATAAAATCGTTCTGTTTTTTTTTCTGGGACATTCTTTAGGTTAGTTTTTATTGAGAGGAAACAACACAGTGTAATAGTTCAGAGGAGTTTCTGAAGTCAGATACCCTGGATTCAAACACTGGCAATTCACCTACTGCCCTGGGCAGATTACATAGTATTTGCAAGCCTCACTTTTCACGTCTAGTAGTATTTGCCTCAGAGAATTGTTATGACATTTAAATGAGGTAATTGGTGTAAAGTGTAGTGCCTGGCAATTGCATGCAATAAACGTTGACTACTTCCTTTGACAGTGTTGGTGTTAGTAACACTGCTGCAATTCCAGGTATTAGGTCTAACCCTGTTATAAAGCATTTTACCCCTAACCTCTTTAAGTTACTTAATTCTCTTTAAATATACTCCAGCATTCTCCTTTGTTATTTAACCATTGTGCGGTAATGGTTGAAAATAGTTAAACAATGTTTTTTTTTAAAAATGACTTCAACATTTCTTTGGGCTATTAGGTATATCTTATTATAGCAGAAGAAAATTAGTCTCTTCTTACCCAAGAATAACTAAGCTTTAGCTTTTCTTATAGTCCATTACCCAGTGAATTTTAAATCATTCATTCTTTTTCCTTCTCAGATGTTAACTTTGTCCTTCCTAGCACAGATGGTATTGAGAGACTCTGTTTTCAGAATGACTTTTCAGTACTGACTTCTTGGACTGACTAAAATTAGCAAAGTTAAGAGATAGCCATTTAAGTATTAATATACTAAACAGATCAATTTTTTAAATGTTTATATTTTTCAAGTGAAAGTAGCTCATGCTATCATGTGCAACAAGTATTGAAGCACAGAAGTATGAGGCTAACAAAATTAAAGCTTTTGTTTAGTTCCTGCTCTTTGGAATTTATAGCTTAGCATAGACTTTACCTTCATACTCCTGCATTACAGTATTTTAAGGAGTGCAGCTGACTGGAGGGTAGGAAGAAGGGAAAACTGACAAAGCAAACGATATTCAGGGCAGGGGAAAAGAAGAGCTGGGGAAGTGGTTAACTTTAAAAGAGAACTTTTTAAAAAGCAGTTTAACCTTAACTATTTGTATACAAGTAAATAATATGCAAGTTATTAATAAGATCATTCTTATTAATTAAACCACTAAGAAGTATCTCAATTTTATAGTCTATAGAACCTGAAAGACTTTCTCTGTGACATAACCTTAAAATATGTATTTTTAAGGAATATAGTTGGATTTTTTTGCTTAATGCAAAATTGAGCCCATCTTCTCACCCTACCCATTAAAGTTACTCTGAATGAGTGAAGTTCTAGTTTAATAAAACCTGTTTGTTTTTCTGACTCAGGATGGTATCACATTTTTATGGAAATGGAGATATTTGTGATATTACCGACAAACCAAGACAGGTGACTGTAAAACTAAAGTAAGTTAGACCATCAAATCATGCTCTATGCCTTTCTCTTTAATTTGCTTCCTATGGGCAAAAGTTTGTGTAAGATATAATTATACATAATTATATTTATTAATAATATGAATTTTTCACAAAATAGTTTTATTATAAGATAGTAAAATCATCATTGTAATTGTTATTATTTTAATAGTTATTTTCAAATTAGACTATTTCAATTATTAATTGTACAGAACCACTTACAAGATATTTTTATCCTTAAAAAAAAAATAATTTTGTGTGGTTGGGCAATACCTTAAAGTGCTCTCTGTTTTAGGTGTAAAGAATCAGATTCTCCTCATGCTGTCACTGTATATATGCTAGAGCCTCACTCTTGTCAGTATATCCTTGGGGTAAGTGGAAAACTAATACTCAGGAATTCAGTTTGGGGCCACATTTTAATGTTTACCATTAAGTCTAGAAAGGAGGTTTCAGTAGTCTCCAGAATTTAATATAGCCCTCATACCTATACCTCTGTAAAAATTGACATCTTTTTTGTTGAGGTATAATTTATAAAATGTGTTAAAATGCAAAGTTCTTAAGTGTTGAGTCTGAGTTTTGGAAAAATTTTGCCCATCATCTATTTCTGGAACTCTGATTAAAACATGCTAATTTCAATTGTCCCCAAATCTTCTTTTATCTTATTGTTATCTTTTTCTTATGTCAGTTTGGGTCACATCATTTCTATTGAATTATCTTCAAGTTCATTGAGTCTTTCCTCTGCTGTGTCCTGTCCACCTCTGAATGAATTTATCACTGCTATATTTTTATTTCTAACATTCCTCTTAAGTTTTTTTTTTTATGGTTTTATTTTCTCTGTTAAAATCCCCTGTCTATTCACACAGGTTGTCTACGTTTTCCACTATTTCCTCTAATTTCCTCTGTTATATTTATTATCATTATCTTAAATCTGATAATTTTAACACCTGGCCCATCTTTGGCCATTTTTCTTTACCCTTTTCTTGAATGGTGCAACTGATTATTTTGCCATATTCTTCTACATTTTGTTATGTAAGACCTAGCTATGTATTTCTCTCTTATGCTTGCCCTTTACTCCTTTTCTTTCTTATCTTTTACTTAAAGATAAAACTAACTACTTACCTATCTATCATTTTATATGGATGACTAAAAATTGTTTTCTAAAAATTCCACTTTGTAGAAATAACATTGGATGACTTATCCAAAAGAAGGACTCGTATACATTTATCAAATTTATATGTATTCATTCAGCAGACTACTGAATAAAGTATGCAGCTTAGCAACTTTAAAATGGTTTTATTACTGTTGTTCTTTAGGTTGAATCTCCAGTGATCTGTAAGATCTTAGATACAGCAGATGAAAATGGACTTCTTTCTCTCCCCAACTAAAGGATAACAAAGTTCAGGAAGTCACGATAATTGTCTGACCATTGTCCTGTTACAGAGCTCTCAGTCACTGGACCTCATATAAAGGATTGTATAAAAGGACTCTCAACCACTTTGTGAATATTTATGTGTATATAAGAGGTTATTGATAAACTTCTAAGGCAGACATTTGTCTCACCTTTTTCATTTTTGTTGTGTCTTAGGAGCTGATTGTGTGTCTTTCTTTGCTTGGATAATGTGATTCCAAAATAAATCTTGTCCAAGCAATTTAGAGTTCATCTTAATGAAATGTCATATAATTGTTGTACCTATTGAAAGTGTTTAAATAATAGATTTATTATGTAAATTATATACAGCTAGCAGATAATGAAGAAAGAAATTGATAGGAGGTTGTTTAAATGAGAGACTGTTAAATATGTATAATTCTAGTGCCTGAAATCCTTTCAGCAAATTTTTATTTAGCAACTGCTTTCTACCAGGTATTAAACTAGAAACTGGGCACACAGTGAAGCCTCATGTGTAAATTTTCTTTTCCTCCATTAACTTCAAGAGACTCTTAGCTTCTCTTTCAGAACTTTTATCTCTTTCTATCTATATCATATCTCCTTGACATGAGTGTGTTTTCCCCCCAATATGTGCCTGGTATAGACAGTAAATAATTCTTACCTTTTGACTTAGAATGATTTATCTTAACAGAGCACACTGTGCCGGCTGTCCTTTGTATTTGCCTCCTGTATACTACAGATTTTAGTTCTGGACAACTTCACGGCACAGTATCTATTTTAAACTGAACAAGCTGTCCACAGCAGTGTTGTCATGTAGTCAGTGGCAGGTTATTCAGTTTCTTTATTTTCTCCATTACTCCTCTTTTACATATCATCCTGTTATATTTTGGGCATACATGTCTAAATAAGGACAGAAAAGCAGCTGTAAAATTTTTTACTTTTCTTCCTTTTCAGCAATCTGGTCAAAGATATTTTAGTTTGAGAAAAAGTGAATACAGTTGACTATTGGAAGGCTTTCTGTACATTTTAGTAGTAGGAAGCAGCACACACAGTAATAGCATGTACTTTGAATCCACACTTAGGTCCAGATACTCTCTTTGACTTACTATGTGGTCCTGGACAGAGCAGCTAACCATTTCCAGCCTCAATTCCTCTTTCATGGAGAGACTGCTTATTACTTCATAAGGTGGTTTTATCAGTGTATTAATTTTCTCTATTTTTAAAAAGCCTAGCCCCAGTACTCAACACCAGGTTCCCAATAAGTGTTGGTTTATTTTCCTAATACTTCCCTTGTCTCCTACTGACACAATAAGATCAGAGACCAAAGCCATTAAAATGTATTTCTTTAATAAATTATAAAAGTATATTTATTATATCAATTAAGACAAATAGATTTACCTTCTCATTTATATTATAGGTATAAGAGGAGAGAGTTAGAATTGTGAAAGGTTAGTGTCAGAGAAACACTTGGAGGATATTTAAGCCAAACTCTCTATTTTGTAAGAGCAAGGGGAAAAAAAATTCTGAAAAACTATTAGAATTGTTTACTACAGAAGATTCTTAAAAATAGAAGTCATAATAAAAACTGTCAGTCTTCTGTTTTGGCTAACAGCTTAAACTTCTTTGAGAGGTACACTGGACCAGGTAGCTCCATAACGCCTCTATTAGGAATCTCGGGGCCCCATCAGTAGTCTGTGAAACCTTTGATCTCTAACTTGTTTGTTGCTACCTCGATTGTGCAGCCATTCTTTCATGTAAGTGGGCTGAATTCCCAATAAGAAGGAAAAGGGGCTCACCTGCAATATGTCTAATGGACAACAAAGTGGAATCTCTATTAAGTGAAAGTCGCTTAGTCATGTCCGGCTCTTTGCGACCCTGTGGACTATATACAGTCCATGGAATTCTCCGGACCAGAATACTGGAGTGGGTAGCAGTTCCCTTCTCCAGGGGATCTTCCCAACTCAGGGATTGAACCCAGGTCTCCCACATTGCAGGCAGATTCTTCACCAGGTGAGCCACAGGGAAGCCCAATCTCTATTAAGGGTGAGTGAGTGAAGTTGCTCAGTCGTGTCCGATTCTTTGCGACCCCATGGACTGTAGCCTACCAGGCTCCTCTATCCATGGGGTTTTCCAGGCAAGAATACTGGAGTGGGTTGCCATTTCCTTCTCCAGGGGATCTTCCCAACCCAGGGATCGAACCCTGGTCTCCCACATTGCAGGCAGACGCTTTACCCTCTGAGCCATCAGGGAGATCCCAATAGGTGGGTGCTAAGTCAGATTCTTTATGCCAGAGCCTAATTATATGCATTTTGAATGTTTCTTAATGGTTCTCTTTATTTTCAATACTCCTCTGCTTGAGGATTACTGACCCAGGCACTTAACAACAATTTCACACATCCTAGCCTTCCTGATTAGGGTATCTAGAAAATAACTAGCAGCTCATCTTTACAGGAAGGTTGAATAATAATAATCAGTTCAGTTATGTCCAACTCTGCAACCCCATGGACTTCAGCATGCCAGGTCCATCACCAACTCCAGGAACCTACTGAAACTCAAGTCCATCCATCCAACCATCTCATCCTCTGTTGTCCCCTTCTCCCGCTTTCAATCTTTCCCAGCATCAGGGTCTTTTCCAATAGTCAGTTCTTCACATCAGGTGGCCAAAGTATTGGAGTTTCAGCTTCAGCATCGGTCCTTCCAATGAATATTCAGGACTGATTTCCTTTAGAATTGACAGGTTGGATCTCCTTGCAGTCCAAGGGACAGGTTGTGACACAAGACTTTTTTCCAACTTTTTTCAGCTTTACCTGCTTTTCTTCAAAATACCACTAGATGGGGCCTTGTTTATATACTCATACCCCTATATCCTTGATTAAAAAGACTTTGGCAACAAAGGCAACAAATTATCTTGGCTAAACTGAATAGTAAACTTTGTGTATAGTTCTTGGTGAACTATCCTTTTCAGGCAGTCTGATATACAAAAAAGGCCTGACATGATTTCTGACAAAGCTTAAACTTGGTAGTACATAATCAGGCCAAATTACTAACCCAGTTGCAGCAAATAGCTAACATAACCCTAACCCAAAGCAAATAAAGGCTGGCTTGACAATCTCAGAACTTAACAAAATGGAAGAAAACAAAAACAAAAAAGAACTTACAAAATGGAAAAGGAGAAAGGCAAAATTACTAACAAATGGCATATAGGGCTTGTGGTGTTTTGAATCCACACCAATTTGTAAACTTTCAAGAATTTTAGAATTTTATATGTGAAACAAAAAGTTCATCAAAAGCAAGTCAATCAAGCGAAAGTTCTAGAAATGTTAATCATCTCAACTATGGAAGACATTTGTGAGACTATGAAATAATATTAAACCTCTCATGTCTAATCATATAGTACATTATATATTTCAAATATGTTAAATTGCTTTCCAGCACCTTTCAGTAGACTAAATTATGCTTTGCCTTAAATTTAAGACAAAATATAGCTGCTTGTATATTTGCCTGAATCACAAACCTAATTTTCATTTTGTAAATAAAGAATACTAAAAATCAAACTTCCTTGAAAGTCCAGCAAACTAGATTATACAACCCAGTGAGTCAAATCTGTTTTACTATCTAAATTTACTGAGTAGCACAGCCAAAAATAAATGAACTTTGATAGATTCTAAAAGCTTCCCTATCCTCAATAAAATAGTAGTTTGCAAATTAGTCTTCAGTGGTCTTTAATCACAATAAATGTGATTTACTCATCTAAGAATTCTATCCAAGGACTTGCCTGTGGTACAAGTGGCTGAGAATTCCACCTGCCAGTGTGTGGGACCTGGGTTCAACACGTGGTTCAGGAAGATCGCATATGCCGCAGGGCAACTAAGTCCGTGCACTGAAACTGCTGAGTGCCCATGCTCCACAAGGGAAGCCACTGCGACAAGAAGCCCACACACTACAATAGAGAAAGCGTACACCCAGCAACGAAGACCCACCCGGCACAGCCAAAACTGATGGTAAACAATTTTTAAAAGATTGTGATACACTTAAAAATTCTATCAGAGCTCCAAATATTATCCCATAGATTAGAAAATAATAATTGGTCAAGGAAATTGAAAGTCATTTTTTTTCCTGGATTAGTTTTTCATACTTACAGTTATTAATGTTCTTAAACCATCTTAATGAATCATTAGTTGGAAAAACTTTCATTAACCACCTCCAAGAAAGTGTTTCACTCCCCAGAGGAGCCAGCTGTGAACAATCTTGGTCATTATTTGAATTTCAGATAACAGGGTATCCCAGGCTCTGCTTTTTTTTTTTTTTTGCCCCTGGCCTCACTGTGTCATTCAGGTCCTAGTTCCCTGACCCAGGCTTTGAACCCAGGTCCCTGCGGTAGAAACGCAGACTCTGCTTTTATAGTAATAAAAGTTAACTGTCACTTCTTGAACATTTATTAAATAGTAGGCACTAGGCTAAACCTATAGATATGCTATGTTCACAACCCTGTGAGTTAGGATTACTATCTTTAACTCACAGGTAAGGAAAATGAGGCTACAAGAATTGAACTAAACTACAGTTGGCTGAGCCAGCATTTGAATCAGTTTAGATTCGAGTCCATGTTTGTACATAATATGCATAGTGCTTTCTAGTCACAGCATCTGGCCAGTTAACCATTCTCGATTATCATCTTCCACCTGAGAGGAACTCAGCAAAATGTCCTGCAAAAAGCAAGAAATGACTGATTTTGTCCTGGTAATATATGACACCCTTTTTTTCCCCACCACTAACGTTTCTTAAGCTAATGCAACCCACAAATCTGACGAATGAAAGTTCACTAATAAGATTAAAGTGTTAGTTTGGAAATTATGGCTTGATTAAATGCCATCAAGTCCTACCTTCTTTGGTAATCCTCTTGTGATGGTAAACAATGCAAGTGCAACTAGATCCTCTAGATCCAGATTGTATTTATGATTTAAATGATAAAAATTCCTTTATCTTGTATTTATCAGTATA